ACGGAGCATGCGCAGAGGCCGCCACGGCCGCTACCGCCACCGCCGCCGCCAGGCTGGGCTTCAACACTTCCGGCCGCCGCTGCCGGCCTGCTGGCGCCTTAAAGGGGACGCGTCCCTATTGCCGGTCCTGCGGAGTATAAACTCTTATCCCGAGAGTTTTGGTCCTTACCTGAGCAGGGGTCTTCTGCCTTTGAAAGTTAGTGCTAGAGAGGACGCTAAAAACCAAAAAACTCGTCTTCCTCAACTTTACAGATGCGGAAACTGAAGCCTAAATAAAAGAATCAGCTCATCCACAGTCACAGGCAAAGCCAGATCTCTCGACTCCTCTGGAGGACTCTGCTCCTTTTCCTTCCCCAGATTTTGTTCTGTGAAACTTAAAGCTCATCGGACCTTGAGAAGTTACCACCCAGCTATCAATTTGGAATCAAAAGACCTGCTTGAGCATAGTCAGTAACTGATCATGAGTCTTCCTGCAAGCTCCTTAACATTCTCTGACCCATGCTTGTCTGCCAAGTCTGCCTTTTCGTGATTGAGGTTCTGGCTTCAAGACTTGACCTCGGAGTTAGAAGCTTTGCGACTTTGGGGGAATTATTTTAACAGCGCCAAGCCTCTTTTGCATAAAGCGCAAGATTATTGTGAGTGTTAGATGAGGTGCTAAGTGAAAAGTACTTAGGAATGATTCTGGGACCAGTATAGTAATTGACAAGTGTTAAGACCTTTCTGGGGCCAGGCCCTAGGGAAAATGTTTTTGTCTCCGATAATTCTCACAGCAACCCTACTAGTAGGTTCTTTGCTGTTGTTGTTGGTTGCTATCCCGTTGATTCCGACTCATGATAATCCTATGTGTGCAGAATAGAACTGCTCCATAGGGTTTTCAAGACTGTGACCTTTAGGAAGCAGATGAACCGGCATGCCTTCTGAGCACCTCTGGGTGGGTTTGAACCACCATCCTTTCAGCTAGTAGTTGAGCGCTTAGCCGTTTTCACCACACAGGGTCTCCTGTAGGTTCTTTATCACTCCCATTTTACAAATAAAAAACAGGAGGCCAAGAGAGGGTAACTAATCCCTCCCTCAGGATCATATAACCTGTAAGTGGTATAGCCAGGATTTAAATTCAGGCCCTTCTTGCTTCAGATTCCCAGGTTATAACCACTAAGATGGCTGTGTTGTTATTAAGAACAAATGAGGTGGTGGAGTACAGGTTTGTTGTTTGTTTTTTTGCGGGGGAGAGTAGGGTTGCTTCCCTAACTTGCCTCCTTCCATGAATCACATCTGTGCTACTCTGTCTCAGTCTAAAGAGACATGAAGAGGTGACAAGAAGTTCTGCAGGTTTTTAATTCAAAGTCAGGTAAGACAGCCCTGGAACCAAACAATAGAATTGAATTTAGGGGTCAGACAACCTGGATTCTAGGTTTAGCTTCAGCAGTTCAGAGATCTTGGCCAAGTCGCAGCCTCCCTTAAAAGACCCAATTATTTTCTCCTTTAATTTTTTTGTTGATGCCATGTGTTTTCACTAATGGAAGGCATGCTGATTAAAGGACCAATTCAGAATTTTTGTTATGAGTTACGGATTTTGATACCCATTATCTGCAATCACATATGTCCCAGGGGATGCTGGATGTAGTAAATCATTCCAGTATGAATCAATGATAAAATCATTTTTTTTTCCCCTTGGAAATTTGCAAAACATGAGGTAAAACATGAAGGCACCTGGCAATAGCTGCACATACATTTTATTGTAGCCTTTTTATTATTTTTCATAAGACTTTTCAAAACATGGTACAATGCACTCTTCCTTACTGCAAAAGTAGTACTTACAGCCAAAATAAATAAAGCCTAGGGATTTTTTTCTCTGGAAAATTACCACTACAGTGCATTCTTCGTTACTGCAAAAGCAGAACTTACAGGCCAAATAAAACTAAAGGAATTTGAATATCAGGAAAATTACCACTGCTATGTATATTCATTATAACAAAAGCAGTACTAACAGCTAAGAAGCAGAGAGCGCTGCCCTGGAATACTGCAGAACTGCTCACAGTGGTGCATTCTAACTGCTACACGTGGAAACAATGATTGGGCCCTAAGACTGAATGTGTGGTAAGAATAACTTACAGGAGTTTTAGTCTCTTGAAAAGTACCACTACAATGCATTATTCCTCATTTCATAGGCATTATTTACTACTGTTCCGAAGCTAGAAAAGCAGGGAGCCAGTAACACCTGGAAACAATGAATGCCCTCAAGGAGAAAATGGCCACTATGACTGAATGAAGGTGAAGAATAGCTTATTCTCGGGTTAAGTACATTTTCACCAGAACATAGTAACTGGGAAACACAGTGAGGAGGTTTATCTCACAGAAATAAAGGCAAAACCACAAAAGTTTAGAAAATTCACACATCCAAGAGGCATCACCTGAGACAATGCTCAATCTACACAAAAATGAGGCTCCAACTCAGGGTTCTTGAGTTTCACACATTTCAAAAGGCTCCCACCCTGAGACTAAACACGTTAAAATTGGCTACCTCCTTTCCAAAGAACTCCAGAGGAATAAAAATTGGTTAGAAAAAAGAATTTTTTTAAAAAATATAGAAACATATGAAGAATACAGTTATCACCCATAATCTCTCCTTGTCTTAGGTTGAGTTCTCTAGAGAAGCAAAACCAGTAAGGCCTATAAATATAGAGAGAGATTTATATCAAGGAAATGGCTCACGTGATTGTAGAGGCTGGAACATCCCAAACCTGTGAGTTAGGATAGAGACGTCCTCTGATTCAAGTAGCCCGCAGGGGCTGGTGAACCCAAGATTGGCAGGTCAGAGAGCAAGGCTCTTGCTCACAGGCTGCAAAGATCAAAGAATCCCAAGATCAGCAGGCAAGACCACAGGTAAGCTGCTAGCTGAAGTCCTGAGAATCAAAGGTCAGATGAACAGGAGCCATCTGCAGGATCCAGAGTGAGCAAAAGTCCAAGAGCCTTGCCAGAATGTCCACTTATATTCGATGCAGGCCACACGCCCAAGAAAACTCCCTTTTGACTGATTGGCTACTCACAGCAGATCCCATTATGGAGGTGATCATATTATATCAAATCTCATCATGGAGGTGATCACGTTATATCAAATCTCATCATGGAAATGATCACATCATACAACTGACAAACCACTGAGAATCATGGCCCCACCAACTTGACACACATTTTTGGGGGACACAACACAGTCCATAAGAGTCCTCTAAGAAAACTGCTAACACTTTGGTCTATTTCTTTGTAGTACTTTTTATTTTTCACAATGTGTGTATATATGTAAATTTATTTTTTCACAAAGTTGATTATATTATATAAATTTTTTTTAAAAGTGATTGAAATACAGTATGTCACATGGGTCCAGAAAGGGTTAAACCTTGATTTCCTCATCTGTAAAATAGGAATAATTATCCCATTCTGCTCCCCTCTCAGGGCTGTTGTTGTTGTTGTTGTTATTTGCCCCCAAGTCAGTTCCAACTCATAGTGACTCTATGTACAACAGAACAAAACACTGCCCAGTCTTGTGCCATCCTCACAATCATTGTTATGTTTGAGCCCATTGTTGCAGCCATTGTGCCAATCCATCTTGTTGAGGGTCTTCCTCTTTTTTGTTGACCCTCTACCAAGGATGATGTCCTTCTCTAGGGACTGGTCCCTTCTGATAACATGTCCAAAGTGAGTGAGACAAAGTCTCACCATACTTGCTTCCAAAGAGCACTCTGGCTGTATTTCACCCAAGAAAGACTTGTTCGTTCTTCTGGCAATCCATGGTATATTCAGTACTCTTTGCCAACACCATAATTCAAAGGCATCAATTTTTCAGTCTTCCTTATTCATTGTCCAGCTTTCACATGCATATGAGGCAATTGAAAATGTCATGGATTAGTTGAGAACAGGAACCAGACAAGGATGCCCTTTATCACCACTGTTATTCAACATTGTGCTGGAGGTCTTAGCCACAGCAATTAGGCTAGAAAAAGAAATAAAGGGCATCCAAATTGGTAAGGAAGAAGTAAAAGTACCTCTATTTGCAGATGATATGATCTTATACAGAGAAAACTCCAAAGAATCCACAAGAAAACTACTGGAACTAATAGAAGATTTCAGCAAAGTATCAGGAAACAAGATAAACATACAAAGATCAGTTGGATTCCTCTACACCAACAAATAAAACTTTGAAGAGAAACTCACCAAGTCAATACCATTTACAATAGCCCTCAAGAAGATAAAATACTTAGGAATAAATCTAACCAGAGAGGTAAAAGACCTATACAACGAAAGCTACAAGATGCTACTGCAAGAAACCAAAAGAGACTTGCATAAGTAGAAAAACATACCTTGCTTATGGATAGAAAAACTCAACATTGTGAAAATGTCTATTCTACCAAAGCGATCTACAGATACAATGCAATCCTGATCCAAATTCCAACAGCATTTTTTAAGGAGATGGAGAAACAAATCACCAACT